ATCAAATAAAGATAGGAGACATTACTGATCTAAACCAAAATATCACTGATGCCATTGCAACCATTGATGAGGCTGTGCTTCAGCGATTATGGCAAGAAATCGAGAACCGCCTTGATCTGCTTCATTGTGCCCATATAGACGTGTATGAAATCAGTTAAAAAAACTTCAGTATCTACTCCTCGTTTTCTAACAATTTTCACATACCGTAATACCACATGTATAATACGCATTTTTTCTAAAAATAATAAGGAAAATTAGGGGTACGTATTATGCACAGCTACAAAAAATCTTTTAAAAATTGCCGTTTCATAGGTCGATTTCAGTTGCGAAATAACTACTCACCACAAACATACGACAATTTGACACTAACATTCGGAGATTGCGACTCCATAAGTATGTCAAATGCAATCATATGTACCTATCAATACTTACAAATGTAAAATAAAATAAGAATTATCATAAAACTAGATTAGAATAATATGATTATATGTTTAAAACCATTTCTTTTAAATAAATGTAGGAAAAGCTGGCCGTAATGAAATTGGAGGGGTACAATTTAAAGGGTTTGATTACCAACCAAAGGGTGCGTATTATGCATTAGTAGAAGTATTTTCCCACACTTTCAGCACAATTTTAGGGGTGCGTATTATGGATGAAGGTGTATTATGCATGGGGAATTACGGTAACTACGAATTCTAATATAAATGTATAAATAATCATCCATGGAGACGCATCAGTAAGTAAATATAAATTAATACCATTTATTTAATGCTAAATATTTTAATCCTCACTTCCTGTTCTGAATACATATGCATTTAGAAATGCAACCTTTGAAGAAAGCAAGCGTCTGTGAAAAAGATATGCACCGAAAAGCGTGAAAAGCCAATGAAATACTCGGAAATGTTGATGCTCTGACGTTGAATAAAATATTGTTTGATCTTTGCAGGCGATAGTTTAGTAAATCAATATTTTATTTGTAGTGCATTTTATTATCGTATGCATTAGTGGAATTATATTGGCTAAAAATCAGACAAAAACTACGCTAAATCTAATAATTTTCTTTTAAAGATAATTTAGAATTATATTTGATTTTTTAAGGGCTCGCAATATTTTAGCCAATGAAAATGAATAAATAAACGAATGCGTAAATAAATAGGCTTTTTCCCAAAAACAACAACAAAAAAAAACCCAACAAAGAAATAAATCTTGAATACGCAAATCAGAAAAATGTATGAAGAAAGAACACAAAATTAAAAAACAAAATTTACCAATCGAATGGCCTCTTTGTTTCAAAAAGATGGCCGGGTGGTAGAATACTTGGTAAAATAAAAAAAAAAAAATAATATAAATAAAATAAAAAAAGGGGAAGAATATGTTACTGAGCGTGCCTGTCTGATAAGACTGCGTGTTTTGAGCAAGTCGCGCGTCGTTGTGCGCAGGTGAGGCTTACAGATAAACTGAGTCTTGCTTTCCTTAAAAACCGGGGATTTAGCGATTTGTCGTTACAGTAACTAACATAAATCAGGACAGGAACTTGTAAGCTTTTTAGCGAGGAAGAATAGCTTTCTTTACAGCATCTGCCCAACGCATAAACGTACACACTTACAGGAACTCACACATAGAGAGTTCTTCTCAGCTTCCTTTTCACATCTATTTATTGGTCTACATATCTACACAATGCACACACACACACATACACAAACACACACACATATATATATCGTATTATATATATATGTGTGTGTATATATATATATATATATATATATATATATATATATATATATATATATATATATATTCATGAATCTAATGTATATCTTCCGAATATATAGAAATCCATATATACAAAATAAGCACAAGATATGCGAATGAAAAATTATTCAAAATATCCTGCAGCGTCTCACTAACCTTTACTTTAACATCCAGAATGATTTTTACACCTACTTGTGTATTATCTCTTACTTCCTTACACGTGACATGTATTCAATTAAAACTTCCTACTGCATCTTATTAACTTTTACACACTCCAGCGTCGAAAATGAGCGCCACATATATTTGAATATTATCTGTTACTTCATTACACGTGACACGTATCTAGCCAATAAGAAATAACCAAACACAACATATCATTAATCTGCGTCTCTTTGTTTATATCATTTTTATTATCTCTATCTTGATCTCTGACGAACCTTTAATAAAGTGAAACATGTTAGATTAAAATCTGTTTCCTACTTGTTCTTTTTCCTATGATACTTATATATATATATGGATGTAGCTGCACATTGCACCGCTACGTGTCATGAGTCGGTAATGTTCAAGTCAGTCAGCCATGAGATGAGTTATGGACTAATTGATTGGTTCCCGAGGATTCTTTCCGAATATTTCCAAGCACGTTTAGTGATTTTCTCGATCACAGATAAAGATTGTGAGGGCGGGGAGCCATATTTTTATATATTTTTTTTACATAAGAAACCGCTGCTGACATTGTTGTGATTTTTGAGAAGCTTTTAAGGAAGAAACTTTAGGTAAAAGACAATTGTTCATTTCAAACGTACTGAAATATCATTTGAAAAGTAAAAATTCCAAAAAACTCGAAATGTCACAATTCTTGAAAATATCCAAAATGCAAAGTGATATCGTCTCCGGAATATTGACAGGATATCAAAGGATATCACAGGTTTGTCTTGGACGTCAGATATTCCTTAGTCACACCGTCCCTTACCTCTACAACTGGGACCTGCCATACCGCATACAAAAGGGTGATTTATCTTCATTCCCTTTGTATTTCAATAACAAGAGGTAAGTTCCATTTGGACAGCCTATTGCCAAGAACTGCTGCTTTGTCGAATAGACTCCCGCCAAGATATTTTCTCAATTGCTCCAATCTTGACCACTTCATATCTAGGTTAACCGTTATCTTTCTTGCAAATTGGGTGAAAATTAGCATTAAAAAGAACCAACATCTGTTAACAGAAGATTTGAAATCTCGTTTGATCACAGAGAATAAAACCCAACTAACAAACAAATAGCTGTTTGAATGTGTTTCACGATTTGCAGAACAAGTTCGAAATAGTATCTTTTCATTTTTTTTTTGATTAGAATAAGTCTGGGTCCCTGAAAACAAAACAAATTAATAATAATAATAATAATAATAATAATAATAATAATAAAGCCAAAGAGAATAGATAAATTCGTGCTTTTCCTGAAATCAGTAGTGCGAAGTGATCATAAAAGGTTAGGCAGTAAATTTGAAATTGTTCCGCAGCGATAAGTTTAATGCTACTGGCAAAATCGAACGATGGACTACGAAAGATAAAATACTAACAATTTCTTTTTTCTTTTCTCTGTAAAATGCAAGTATTTTGTGGCGTGATCTTTCCAAAATCAAATAGTTATTTCACAAAAGGGTCAGAATTTTATTCAGTGAACGGCCCGATGCATTTTCAGTTTCAATGACAAAATGTAGAATGGTGGAGTAAGTTAGAGAGAAATAAACAGAAATAAAGAAAAAGAGGAGGCACATGGAAAGGTAAATGAAAATTAAGAGAGATGTAGTGATTCATAATTAAAACAAGAAAAAAAAAAAGATAAAAAGAACATTGATGATAAAAAAGGGAGCGAGGGAAGAACAAATCAAGAGAAGAGTGGGAAATATACAGATATTATTCGAGGAAAGAGAAAGAAAGGTACAGATATTATTCGAGGGAAGAGAGGGAAAGGTACAGATATTATTCGAGGGAAGAGAGGGAAAGGTACAGATATTATTCGAGGGAAGAGAGGAAAGGTACAGATATTCGAGGGTGGAAGAGAGGGAAGGAAGAGAGGGAAAGATACAGATATTATTCGAGGAAAGAGAGGGAAAGGTACAGATATTATTCGAGGGAAGAGAGGGAAAGGTACAGATATTATTCGAGGGAAGAGAGGGAAAGGTACAGATATTATTCGAGGGAAGAGAGGGAAAGATACAGATATTATTCGAGGGAAGAGAGGGAAAGATACAGATATTATTCGAGGAAAGAGAGGGAAAGGTACAGATATTATTCGAGGGAAGAGAGGGAAACAGATATTATTCGGGAAGAGAGGAAAGGTACAGATATTATTCGAGGGAAGAGAGGGAAATATACAGATATTATTCGAGAGGAAAGAGAGGGAAAGGTACAGGATATTAGAGAGGGAGGGAAGAGAGGAAAGGGGATACAGATATTATTCGAGGAAAGAGAGGGAAAGGTACAGATATTATTCGAGGAAAGAGAGGGAAAGGTACAGATATTATTCGAGGAAAGAGAGGGAAAGGTACAGATATTATTAGAGGGAAGAGAGGGAAAGTTACAGATATTATTCGAGGAAAGAGAGGGAAAGGTACAGATATTATTAGAGGAAAGAGAGGGAAAGGTACAGATATTATTCGAGGAAAGAGAGGGAAAGGTACAGATATTATTAGAGGAAAGAGAGGGAAAGGTACAGATATTATTAGAGGAAAGAGAGGGAAAGGTACAGATATTATTAGAGGAAAGAGAGGGAAAGATACAGATATTATTCGAGGAAAGAGAGGGAAAGGTACAGATATTATTCGGAGGGAAAGAGAGGGAAATACAGATATTATTTGGAGAAAAAGAGAGGAAAGGTACAGATATTATTCGAGGGAAGAGAGGGAAAGAAATACAGATATTATTCGAGGAAAGAGGGAAAGATACAGATATTATTTAGAGGGAAGAGAGGAAAGATACAGATATTATTAGAGGGGAAGAGAGGGAAAGGTACAGATATTATTGAGGAAAGAGAGGGAAAAGAGGGAAAGATACAGATATTATTAGAGGGAAGAGAGGGAAAGGTACAGATATTATTAGAGGGAAGAGAGGGAAAGATACAGAGAGGGGAAAGAGGGGAAAGTACAGATATTATTAGAGGAAAGAGAGGGAAAGGTACAGATATTATTAGAGGGAAGAGAGGAAAAGACACAGATATTATTAGAGGAAGAGAGGAAAGGACAGATATTATTAGAGGGAAAGAGAGGGAAAGACACAGATATTATTCTGGAGGGAAGAGAGGGGAAAGGTACAGATATTATAGGAGGAAAGAGAGGGAAAGGTACAGATATTATTAGAGGGAGAGAGGGAGGGTACAGATATTATTCGAGGAAAGAGAGGGAAAGGTACAGGATTATCTAGAGGGAAGAGGGAAAGGGATATTATTAGAGGGAAGAGAAAAGACAGATATTATTAGAGGGAAGAGAGGGAAAAGGAAAGGTACAGATATTATTGAGGAAAGAGAGGAAAGACACAGATATTATTGGAAGAAAGAGAGGAAAGATACAGATATTATTCGAGGGAAGAGAGGAAAAGGATATACAGAGGGAAGAGAGGGGCAACAGATTATAGAGGAGAGGAAAGAGGGAAAGAGAGGAAAGACATTATTAGAGGAAAGAGAGGGGAAAGGTACAGATATTATTAGAGGGAAAGAGGGAAAGGTACAGATATTATTGGAGGAAAGAGAGGGAAAGGTACAGATATTAGGGAGGGAAGAGAGGAAAGGTACAGATATTATTAGGAGGGAAGAGAGGGAAAGGTAGAGGAAAGATAGGGAAAGGTTCAGACATAGAGGGAAGAGAGGGAAAGGTACAGATATTATTCGAGGGAAGAGAGGGAAAGATATGATATTATTAGAGGGAAGAGAGGGGAAAGGGGATATTATTTGAGGGAAGAGAGGAAAAGGTACAGATATTATACGAGGGGAGAGGGAAAGGTACAGACACATAGAGGGAAGAGAGGGAAAGAAATTATTCGATGAAAGAGAGGGAAAGATACAAGAGAGGGAGAGGAAAGGTACAGATATTATTCGAGGGAAGAGAGGGAAAGATACAGATATTATTAGAGGGAAGAGAGGGAAAGATACAGATACTATTCGAGGGAAGAGAGGGAATAATACAGATATTATTCGAGGAAAGAGAGGGAAAGGTACAGATATTATTCGAGGGAAGAGAGGGAAAGGTACAGATATTATTAGAGGAAAGAGAGGGAAAGGTACAGATATTATTCGAGGAAAGAGAGGGAAAGATACAGATATTATTAGAGGGAAGAGAGGGAAAGGTACAGATATTATTCGAGGGAAGAGAGGGAAAGGTACAGATATTATTAGAGGAAAGAGAGGAAAGGTACAGATATTATTCGAGGAAAGAGAGGGAAAGGTACAGATATTATTCGAGGGAAGAGATGGAAAGGTACAGATATTATTCGAGGGAAGAGAGGGAAAGATACAGATATTATTCGAGGAAAGTGAGGGAAAGGTACAGATATTATTAGAGGAAAGAGAGGGAAAGGTACAGATATTATTCGAGGAAAGAGAGTGAAAGGTACAGATATTATTCGAGGAAAGAGAGGGAAAGGTACAGATATTATTCGAGGGAAGAGAGGGAAAGATACAGATATTATTAGAGGGAAGAGAGGGAAAGGTACAGATATTATTCGAGGAAAAGAGAGGGAAAGAGGGTACAGATATTATACGAGGAAAGAGAGGGAAAGGTACAGATATTATTCGAGGAAAGAGAGGAAAGGTAACAGATATTATTCTGAGGAAAGAGATATTAGGGAAAGAAAAGGTACAGATATTATTCGAGGGGAAGAGAGGGAAAGGTACAGATATTATTCGAGGGAAGAGAGGATACAGATATTATTCGAGGGAAGAGAGGGAAAGATACAGATATTATTAGAGGGAAGAGAGGGAAAGGTACAGATATTATTCGAGGGAAGAGAGGGAAAGGTACAGATATTATTAGAGGAGGGAAGAGAGGGAAAGATACAGATATTATTCGAGGAAAAGAGAGGAAAGGTACAGATATTATTGGAGAGGGAAGAGAGGGAAAGGTACAGATATTATTAGAGGAAAGAGAGGGAAAGGTACAGATATTATTAGAGGAAAGAGAGGGAAAAAGGTATTATTAGAGGGAAGAGAGGAAAGATACAGAGGAGGAAAGAGAGGGAAAGGTACAGATTATTAAGAGAGGGAAAGAGAGGGAAAGGTACAGATATTATTAGAGGGAAGAGAGGAAAGATATAGATTCGAGGAAAGAGAGGGAAAGGTACAGATATTATTAGAGGAAGAGAGGAAAGGTACAGAGAGGGAAGAGAGGGAAAGGTACAGATATTATTAGAGGGAAGAGAGGGAAAGAGATATTATTAGGAGGGAAGAGAGGGAAAGATACAGATATTATTCGAGAGGAAGAGAGGAAAGGTACAGATATTATTCGAGGAAAGAGAGGGAAAGATACAGATATTAGGGGAGGGAAGAGAGGGAAAGGTACAGATAGGGGAGGAAAGAGAGGGAAAGATACAGATATTATTCGAGGGAAGAGAGGGAAAGGTACAGATATTATTAGAGGAAAGAGAGGAAAGATACAGATATTAGAGAGGAAAGAGAGGGAAAGGTACAGATAGGGAGGGAAGAGAGGGAAAGATACAGATATTCGAGGGGAAGAGAGGAAAGGGTACAGATATTATTCGAGGGAAGAGAGGGAAAAGATACAGATATTAGAGAGGAAAGGTACAGAAAGAGAGGAAAGGGAAAGATACAGATATTATGGGGGAGGAAAGAGAGGGAAAGGTACAGATATTATTAGAGGAAAAGAGAGGGAAAGGTACAGATACAGACATTATTTAGAGGGAAGAGAGGGAAAGATACAGATATTAGAGAGGGAAGAGAGGGGGAAAGGTACAGATAAGAGAGAAAGAGAGGGAAAGGTACAGAGGGATAGAGGAAAGATACAGATATTATCGGAGGGAAGAGAGGGAAAAAGATATTAGAGAAAGAGAGGGAAAGTACAGGGAAGAGAGGGGAAAGAAATACAGATATTATTCGAGGAAGAGAGGAAAGATACAGATATTATTAGAGGGAAGAGAGGGAAAGGTACAGATATTATTGAGAGGAAAGAGAGGGAAAGGTACAGATATTAGAGGAAAGAGAGGGAAAGGTACAGAGATTATTGGAGGAAAGAGAGGGGGAAGAGAGAGGAAAAAGGTACAGATATTATTTGAGGAAAAGAGAGGGTACAAGAGGAAGAGGGAAAGATACAGATATTATTAGAGGAAAGAGAGGGAAAGGTACAGATATTATTCGAGGGAAGAGAGGGAAAGATACAGATATTATAGAGGAAAGAGAGGGAAAGATACAGATATTATTCGAGGAAAAGAGGGAAAGATACAGATATTATTTGAGGAAAGAGAGGGAAAGGTACAGATATTATTCGAGGGAAGAGAGGGAAAGATACAGATATTATAGAGGGAGGGGAAAGAGAGGAGAGGGAAACAGATATATTCGGAGGGAAGAGAGGGAAAGATACAGATATTATTAGAGGGAAGAGAGGGAAAGGTACAGATATTATTCGAGGGAAAAGAGAGGAAAGATATTATTAGAGGAAAGAGAGGGAAAGGTACAGGAGGAGAGGAAAAGGGAAAGATACAGATATTATTAGAGGAAAGAGAGGGAAAGGTACAGATATTATTCGAGGAAAGAGAGGGAAAGGTACAGATATTATTCGAGGAAAGAGAGGGAAAGGTACAGATATTATTCGAGGAAAGAGAGGGAAAGGTACAGATATTATTAGAGGGAAGAGAGGGAAAGGTACAGATATTATTCGAGGAAAGAGGGAAAGGTACAGATATTAGAGGGAAGAGAGGAAAGGTACAGATATTATTCGGGAGGGAAGAGAGGAAAGATACAGATATTAGAGGAAGAGAGGGAAAGATACAGATATTAGAGGAAAGAGAGGGAAAGGACAGATATTAGAGAGGAAAGAGAGGGAAAGGCACAGATATTATTCGAGGGAAGAGAGGGAAAGATACAGATATTATACTGAGGGAAGAGAGGGAAGAGGGGAAAGGTACAGATATTATTAGAAAGGGAAGAGAGGGAAAAGGTACAGATATTATTAGAGGAAAGAGAGGAAAGGCACAGATATTATTAGAGGGAAGAGAGGGAAAGGTACAGATATTATTAGAGGGAAAGAGAGGAAAGGTACAGATATTATTCGAGGGAAAGAGAGGGAAAGATACAGATATTATTCGAGGAAAGAGAGGGAAAAGGTACAGATATTATTAGGGAGGGAAGAGAGGGAAAGATACAGATATTATTAGAGGGAAGAGAGGGAAAGATACAGATATTATTCGAGGAAAGAGAGGGAAAGGTACAGATATTATTCGAGGAAAGAGAGGGAAAGGTACAGATATTATTAGAGGAAAGAGAGGGAGAGGGAAGAGAGGGAAAGAGAGGGAACAGATATTATTCGAGGGAAGAGAGGGAAAGGTACAGATATTATTCGAGGGAAGAGAGGAAAGGTACAGATATTAAGGGGAAGAGAGGGAAAGGTACAGATATTAGAGGAAAGAGAGAGAAAAAGATTATCTGAGGGAAAAGGATACAGATATTATTCGAGAGGAAAGAGAGGGAAAGGCAGAGAGGGAAAGGCCAGATATTATTGAGGAAAGAGAGGGAAAGGTACAGACATTATTAGGGAGGAAAGAGAGGGGAAAGGTACAGATATTCGAGGGAAGAGAGGAAAGAGAGAGGAAAGAGAGGAAAGGTACAGATATTATTCGAGGAAAGAGAGGGAAAGGTACAGATATTATTCGAGGAAAGAGAGGGAAAAAGATAGGGAGGAAAAGACAGATATTATTAGAGGAAAGAGAGGGAAAATACAGATATTATACAGAGACATAGAGGAAAGAGAGGGAAAGATACAGATATTATTCTGGAGGGGAAGAGAGGGAAAGGTACAGATATTATTACGAGGAAGAGAGGGAAAGATACAGATATTATAGAGGAAGAGAGGGAAAGGTACAGATATTGCCTGAGGGAAGAGAGGGAAAGGTACAGATATATTCGGAGGAAGAGAGGGAAAGATACAGATATTAGAGGGAAGAGAGGGAAGATACAGATATTATTAGAAAAGAGGAAAGGAAGGGGAAGAGGGAAAGGTACAGATATTATTAGAGGAAAGAGAGGAAAGGTACAGATATTATTAGGAGGAAAGAGAGGGAAGGCACAGATATTATTCGAGGAAAGAGAGGAAAGATACAGATATTAACAGAGGAAAGAGAGGGAAAGATCGAGGGAAGAGAGAAAGGACAGAGAGGGAAGAGGGTACAGATATTATTCGAGGAAAGAGAGGAAAGGTACAGATATTATTAGAGGGAAGAGAGGGAAAGGTACAGAGATATTCGAGGGAAGAGAGGGAAAGGTACAGATATTAGAGGGAAAGAGAGGGAAAGATACAGATATTAGAGGGAAGAGAGGGAAAGATACAGATATTATTGAGGAAAGAGAGGGAAAGACAGATATTATAGAGGAAAGAGAGGAAAGGTACAGATATTATTAGAGGGAAGAGAAGATACAGATATTATTCGAGGGAAGAGAGGGAAAGGTACAGATATTATTCGAGGGAAGAGAGGGAAAGATACAGATATTAGGAAAGGAGGGAAGAGAGGGAAAGGTACAGATATTATTAGAGGAAAGAGAGGAAAGGTACAGATATTATTCGGAGGGAAGAGAGGGAAAGATAAGATATTATTGAGGGAAGAGAGGAAAGGTACAGATATGTGAAGAGAAAAGAGAGGGAAAGGTAACAGATATTATTAGAGGGAAGAGAGGAAAAGATACAGATATTATTAGAGGAAAGAGGGAAAGGTACAGATATTATTAGAGGGAAGAGAGGGAAAGGTACAGATATTATTAGAGGGGGAAATTATTCGAGGAAAGAGAGGGAAAGATAAAAAGATTAGAGGGAAGAGAGGGAAAGGTACAGATATTATTCGAGGGAAGAGAGGGAAAGGTACAGATATTATTCGAGGAAAGAGAGGGAAAGGTACAGATATTATTCGAGGGAAGAGAGGGAAAGATACAGATATTATTAGAGGAAAGAGAGGGAAAGATACAGATATTATTCGAGGGAAGAGAGGGAAAGATACAGATATTATTAGAGGAAAGAGAGGGAAAGATACAGATATTATTAGAGGAAAGAGAGGGAAAGGTACAGATATTATTCGAGGGAAGAGAGGGAAAGGTACAGATATTTGGAGAGGGAAGAGAGGGAAAGGTACAGATATTATTAGAGGAAAGAGAGGGAAAGGTACAGATATTATCTGAGGAAAAGAGGGAAAGATACAGAAAGCCAGAAGAAAGAGAGGGAAAGGTTGAGAAATTAGAGGAAAGAGAGGAAAAGGTACAGATATTATTCGAGGGAAGAGAGGGAAAGGTACAGATATTAGGGAGGGAAGAGAGGAAAGGAAGAGAGGAAGAGGAAAGGTACAGATATTATTAGAGGGAAGAGAGGGAAAGGTACAGATATTACAGAGGGAAGAGAGGGAAAGGTACAGATATTATTCGAGGAAAGAGAGGAAAATACAGATATTATTAGGAGGAAAGAGAGGAAAGTTACAGATATTATTCGAGGGAAGAGAGGAAAGGTACAGATATTATGTGAGGAAAGAGAGGGAAAGGTATGATATTATTCGAGGGAAGAGAGGAAAGATACAGATAAAAAGGGAAGAGAGGGAAAGATACAGATATTCAGAGAAAAGAGAGGAAAGGTACAAGAGAGGGGAAGGAAAGATACAGATATTATTCTGAGGAAAGAGAGGGAAAGATACAGATATTATTAGAGGAAAGAGAGGAAAGGTACAGATATTATTAGAGGGAAGAGAGGAAAGATACAGATATTATTCGGAGGAAAGAGAGGGAAAGATACAGATATTATTTTGGAGGGAAGAGAGGGAAAGATACAGATATTATTCGAGGGAAAGAGAGGAAAGGTACAGATATTATTCGAGGAAAGAGGAAAGATACAGAGGGAAGAGAGGGAAAGGTACAGATATTAGTAGAGGGAAAAGAGGGAAAGGTACAGATATTTTCGGAGGAAAGAGAGGGAAAGGTACAGATATTATAGAGAAGAGAGGGAAAATGAGAGGGAAGAGGGAAAGATACAGATATTATCTGAGGGAAGAGATTGGGAAAGGTACAGATATTATTAGAGGGGAAGAGAGGAAAGATACAGATATTATTCGAGGAAAGAGAGGGGAAAGGTACAGATATTATTCGAGGGAAGAGAGGAAAGGTACAGATATTATTAGAGGAAAGAGAGGGAAAGGTACAGAGATATTATTAGGGGAGGGAGGGAAGAGAGAGGGAAAGAGGGGTACAGATATTATTTGAGGAAAGAGAGGGGAATTATTAGAGGAAAGAGAGGGAAAGATATTAGAGGGAAGAGAGGGTTTACAGATATTATTAGAGGGAAGAGAGGGAAAGATACAGATATTATTCGAGGGAAGAGAGGGAAAGATAAATATTATTCGAGGGAAGAGACTTACTACAGATATTACATAGAGGGAAGAGAGGGAAAGGTACAGAAAGAGGGAAGAGAGGAAAGATACAGATATTATTAGAGGAAAAGAGAGGAAAGGTACAGATATTATCTGAGGGAAGAGAGGGAAAGATACAGATATTATTAGAGGGAAGAGAGGAAAGGCACAGATATTAGAGGGAAAGAGAGGGAAAGAGAGAGGAAAGAGAGGAAAGATACAGATATTATTAGAGGAAAAGAGAGGGAAAGGTACAGATATTATTCGAGGAAAGAGAGGGAAAAGGTACAGATATTATTAGAGGGAAGAGAGGGAAGAGAGGAAAGAGAGGGAAAAGACAGATATTATTAGGAGGAAAAGAGAGAAAGGTAAAGATATTATTAGAGGAAAGAGAGGAAAGATACAGATATTATTAGAGGGAAGAGAGGGAAAGATACAGATATTACATAGAGGAAAGAGAGGGAAAGGTACAGATATTAGAGGGAAAAGAGGAAAACACATATTATTAAGAGGGAAGAGAGGGAAAGATACAGATATTATTAGAGGGAAGAGAGATATTTGGAAAGAGGGAAGATACAGATATTAAAAGAGGGAAGAGAGGGAAAGGATACAGATATTATTAGAGGGAAGAGAGGGAAAGGTCCAGATATTATTAGAGGAAAGAGAGGGAAAGGTACAGATATTATAGGAGGGGAAGAGAGGGAAAGGTACAGATATTATTAGAGGGAAGAGAGGAAAGATACAGATTATTCGAGGGAAGAGAGGGAAAGAGAGGAAAAGGGAAAGATATGATAATTAGAGGAAAGAGAGGGAATCATACAGATATTATTAGAGGAAAGAGAGGGAAAGGTACAGATATTATTAGAGGGAAGAGAGGAAAGGATAGAGATATTTGAGGGAAGAGGAGGAAAGAGAGGGATAGAGGGGAAGAGAGGGAAATACAGATATTATAGAGGAAAGAGAGGAAAGGTACAGATATTATTCGAGGGAAGAGAGGGAAAGATACAGATATTATTAGAGGAAAGAGAGGGAAAGGTACAGATATTAGAGGGAAGAGAGGGAAAGAAGACAGATATTATTTGAGGAAAGAGGGGATCCTAACACAGATATTATTCGAGAGGGAAGAGAGGGAAAGGTACAGATATTAACAAGAGGAAAGAGAGGGAAAGGATACAGATACAGATTATCCTGAGGGAAGAGAGGGAAAGGTACAGATATTATTAGAGGGAAGAGAGGGAAAGATACAGATATTATTAGAGGGAAGAGAGGGAAAGATACAGATATTATTAGAGGAAAGAGAGGGAAAGGTACAGATATTATTGAGGGGAAGAGAGGGAAAGGTACAGATATTATTAGGAAAGAGAGGGAAAGGTACAGATATTATTAGAGGGAAGAGAGGGAAAGATACAGATATTATAGAGGAAAGAGGGAAAGGTACAGATATTATTAGAGGGAAGAGAGGAAAAGGTACAGATATTATCTGAGGGAAGAGAGGGAAAGATACAGATATTATTAAGAGGGAAGAGAGGAAAGATACAGATATTATTCGAGGAAAGAGAGGAAAAGGTACAGATATTAGAGGAAAGAGAGGGAAAGATACAGATATTATTAGAGGAAAGAGAGGAAATACAGATATTATTCGAGGGAAGAGAGGGAAAGGTACAGATATTATTGGAGGGAAGAGAGGGAAAGGTACAGATATTATTAGAGGGAAGAGAGGAAAGGTAACAGATATTATTAGAGGAAAGAGAGGAAAGATACAGATATTATAGAGGAAAAAGAGAGAAAAGGTACAGATATTAGGAAAGAGAGGGAAGAGAGGAAAGAGGGAAGAGAGAAAGATACAGATAGAGGAAAGAGAGGGAAAGGTACAGATATTATTCTAGGAAAGAGAGGGAAAGGTACAGATATTATTCGAGGGAAAAGAGGGAAAGATACAGATATTAAGAGGAAAGAGAATGAAAGATACAGATATTATTAGAGGAAAGAGAGGGAAAGGTACAGATATTATTCGAGGGAAGAGAGGGAAAGGTACAGATATTATTAGAGGAAAGAGAGGGAAAGGTACAGATATTATTAGAGGGAAGAGAGGAAAGACAGATATTATTATTCAGACATTAGAGGAAAGAAGGGAAAAGATATTAGAGGGAAAGAGGGAAAGATACAGATATTATTCGAAAAAGAGAGGGAAAACAGATATTATTAGAGGGAAGAGAGGGAAAGATACAGATATTATTAGAGGAAAGAGAGGAAAAGGTACAGATATTATTAGAGGAAAGAGAGGAAAGATACAGATATTAGAGGGAAGAGAGGGAAAGGTACAGATATTAAGAGGGAAGAGAGGAAGGGAAGATATTATTTGAGGAAAGAGAGGAAAGGCACAGACATATTCGGAGGGAAGAGAGGGAAAGAAAAGAGGGAAGAGAGGAAAGATATTATTATTACAGATATTATCTGGAGGGAAGAGAGGGAAAGGTACAGATATTATTAGGGAGGAAAGAGAGGAAAGATACAGATATTATTCGAGGAAAGAGAGGGAAAGATACAGATATTACACATAGGGGAAGAGAGGGAAAGATACAGATAAAAGGAAGGTGTTTTACAGATATTATTCGAGGGAAGAGAGGGAAAGGTACAGATATTATTAGAGGGAAGAGAGGGAAAGATACAGATATTATTCGAGGGAAGAGAGGGAAAGGTACAGATATTATTCGAGGGAAGAGAGGGAAAGATACAGATATTATTAGAGGAAAGAGAGGGAAAGATACAGATATTATTAGAGGAAAGAGAGGGAAAGGTATTAAGATATTATTGAGGGAAGAGAGGGGAAAGATACAGATATTATTCGAGGGGAAGAAAGAGGGAAAGGGAAGAGGGAAGATATTATTCTGAGGGAAGAGAGGAAAGATACAGATATTTTAGAAAAGAGAGGGAAAGGTACAGATATTATTAGAGGGAAGAGAGGGAAAGATACAGATATTAGAGGAAAGAGAGGGAAAGATACAGATATTATTAGAGGGAAGAGAGGGAAAGATAAAGATATTATTGAGGATTGGGAAACGTACAGATATTATTAGAGGAAAGAGGGAAAGGTACAGATATTATTAGAGGGAAGAGAGGAAAGATACAGATATTATTCGAGGGAAAGAGGAATAGACAGATATTATTCGAGGAAAGAGAGGGAAAGGTACAGATATTATTAGAGGGAAGAGAGGAAAGGTACAGATATTAGGGAAGAGAGGGGAAGAGATGGAGGAAAGATACAGATATTATAGAGGGGAAGAGAGGGAAAGGTACAGATATTATTAGAGGGAAGAGAGGGAAAGGTACAGATATTAGGAGAGGGAAGAGAGGGAAAGGTACAGATATTATTAGAGGGAAGAGAGGGAAAGATACAGATATTATTCGAGGGGAAGAGAGGGAAAGGTACAGAGGGGAGAGAGGGAAGAGAGGGAAAGATACAGATATTATAGAGGGAGAGGGAAGAGAGGGAAAGGTACAGATATTAGAGGGAAGAGAGGGAAAGTTACAGATATTATTAGAGGGAAGAGAGGGAAAGGTACAGATATTATTAGAGGAAAGAGAGGGAAAGGTACAGATATTATTCGAGGAAAGAGAGGGAAAGATACAGATATTAAGAGAGGGAAGAGAGGGAAAGGCAGATATTATTCGAGGGAAGAGAGGGAAAGGTACAGATAGGAGGGAAGAGAGGGAAAGAGAGGAAGAAAGGTACAGATATTATTAGAGGAAAGAGAGGGAAAGATACAGATATTATTCGAGGGAAGAGAGGGAAAAATACAGATAGATTAGGGAAAGAGGGAAAGGTACAGATATTATTCGAGGGAAGAGAGGAAAAAGGAACAGATATTATAGAGGAAAGAGAGGAAAGGTACAGATATTAGAGGAGGGAAGAGAGGAAAGATACAGATATTATTAGAGGGAAGAGAGGGAAAGGTACAGATATTATTAGAGGAAAGAGAGGAAAGATACAGATATTATTAGAGGGAAGAGAGGGAAAGGTACAGATATTATTAGAGGAAAGAGAGGGAAAGATACAGATATTAGAGGGAAGAGAGGGAAAGGTACAGATATTATTAGAGGAAAGAGAGGGAAAGGTACAGGAAGGGAAGAGAGGGAAAGATACAGATATTATTCGGAGGAAGAGAGGGGAAGAGAGGGAAAGGGGTACAGATATTATTGGAGGGAAGAGAGGGAAGAGAGGAAAGGTACAGATATTATTAGAGGGAAGAGAGGGAAAGGATACAGATATTATTAGAGGGAAGAGAGGGAAAGACAGATATTATTAGAGGGAAGAGAGGGAAAAGATACAGATATTATTAGAGGAAAGAGAGGAAAGATACAGATATTATTAGAGGAAAGAGAGGGGAAAGGTACAGATATTATTATACAGATATCGGAGGAAAGAGAGGAAAGAGAGGGAAAGGAATACAGATATTATTAGAGGGAAGAGAGGGAAAGGTACAGATATTATTAGAGGGAAGAGAGGGAAAGATACAGATATTATTCTGAGGAAAGAAGGGAGAGGGAAAAGGGATACAGATATTATTAGAGGGAAGAGAGGGAAAGGTACAGATATTATTCGAGGGAAGAGAGGGAAAGATACAGATATTATTAGAGGGAAGAGAGGGAAAGACAGAGATATAGAGGGAAGAGGGAAGGGAAGAGAGGGAAAGAGAGGGAAAGGCACAGATATTATTCGAGGGGAAGAGAGGAAGAGGAAAGAGAGGGGAAAGATATTATTATAGAGGGAAGAGAGGGAAAGATACAGATATTATTCGAGGGAAGAGAGGGAAAGGTACAGATATTAGGGAGGAAAGAGAGGGAAAGATACAGATATTAGAGGGAAGAGAGGGAAACAGAGATATTATTCGAGGGAAGAGAGGGAAAGGTACAGATATTATTCGAGGGAAGAGAGGGAAAGATACAGATATTATTAGAGGGAAGAGAGGGAAAGGTACAGATATTATTCGAGGGAAGAGAGGGAAAGATACAGATATTATTAGAGGGAAGAGAGGGAAAGATACAGATATTATTCGAGGGAAGAGAGGGAAAGATACAGATATTATTAGAGGAAAGAGAGGGAAAGGTACAGATATTATTCGAGGGAAGAGAGGGAAAGATACAGATATTATTAGAGGGAAGAGAGGGAAAGATACAGATATTATTCGAGGGAAGAGAGGGAAAGGTACAGATATTATTCGAGGAAAGAGAGGGAAAGGTACAGATATTATTAGAGGAAAGAGAGGGAAAGGTACAGATATTATTAGAGGGAAGAGAGGGAAAGATACAGATATTATTCGAGGGAAGAGAGGGAAAGGTACAGATATTATTCGAGGGAAGAGAGGGAAAGATACAGATATTATTAGAGGGAAGAGAGGGAAAGGTACAGATATTATTCGAGGGAAGAGAGGGAAAGATACAGATATTATTCGAGGAAAGAGAGGGAAAGGTACAGGTTTTTATTCGAGGGAAAAGAGGGAAAGGTACAGATATTATTCGAGGGAAGAGAGGGAAAGATACAGATATTATTAGAGGGAAGAGAGGGAAAGGTACAGATATTATTCGAGGGAAGAGAGGGAAAGATACAGATATTATTAGAGGGAAGAGAGGGAAAGGTACAGATATTATTCGAGGGAAGAGGAAGAGAGAGGGAAAAGGGGCACAGATATTATTCGAGGGAAGAGAGGGAAAGGTACAGATATTATTAGAGGGAAGAGAGGGGGAATAGATATTATTAGGAGGGGAAAGAGAGGGAAAGGTACAGATATTATTAGAGAGAGGAAAGAGAGGGAAAAAGATATTATTAGAGGAAAGAGAGGAAAGGTACAGATATTATTAGAGGGAAGAGAGGGAAAGATACAGATATTATTCGAGGGAAGAGAGGGAAAGGTACAGATATTATTAGAGGAAAGAGAGGGAAAGGTACAGATATTATTCGAGGGAAGAGAGGGAAAGATACAGATATTAGAGGGAGGAAAGAGAGGGAAAGGTACAGATATTATTAGAGGGAAGAGAGGGAAAGATACAGATATTATTAGAGGGAAGAGAGGGAAAGGTACAGATATTATTCGAGGGAAGAGAGGGAAAGATACAGATATTATTAGAGGGAAGAGAGGGAAAGGTACAGATATTATTCGAGGGAAGAGAGGGAAAGATACAGATATTATTCGAGGAAAGAGAGGGAAAGATACAGATATTATTCGAGGGAAGAGAGGGAAAGGTACAGATATTATTAGAGGGAAGAGAGGGAAAGATACAGATATTATTCGAGGGAAGAGAGGGAAAGGTACAGATATTATTAGAGGGAAGAGAGGGAAAGATACAGATATTATTCGAGGGAAGAGAGGGAAAGGTACAGATATTATTAGAGGAAAGAGAGGGAAAGATACAGATATTATTCGAGGAAAGAGAGGAAAGGTACAGATATTATTAGAGGGAAGAGAGGGAAAGGTACAGATATTATTAGAGGGAAGAGAGGGAAAGGTACAGATATTATTCGAGGGAAGAGAGGGAAAGGTACAGATATTATTCGAGGGAAGAGAGGGAAAGGTACAGATATTATTAGAGGGAAGAGAGGGAAAGATACAGATATTATTAGAGGGAAGAGAGGGAAAGGTACAGATATTATTCGAGGAAAGAGAGGGAAAGGTACAGATATTATTGGAGGGAAGAGAGGGAAAAGAGAGGGAAAAGGGAAAGATACAGATATTATAGGAGGGAAGAGAGGGAAAAGATACAGATATTATTAGAGGGAAGAGAGGGAAAAATACAGATATTCTGAGGGAAGAGAGGGGACAGATATTATTCGAGGGAAAGAGAGGGAAAGGCACAGATATTAGGAAAGAGAGGAAAGATACAGATATTATTAGAGGGAAGAGAGGAAAGGTACAGATATTATCGGGAGGGAAGAGAGGGAAAGGTACAGATATTAGAGGAAGAGGGAAAGAGGGAAAAGAAACAGATATTATCGAGGGAAGAGAGGGAAAGATACAGATATTATTAGGAGGAAAGAGGGAAAGGTACAGATATTATTAGAGGAAAGAGAGGGAAAGGTACAGATATTATTAGAGAGGGGAAGAGAGGGAAAGTACAGATATTATTAGAGGGAAGAGAGGGAAAGATACAGATATTATTAGAGGGAAGAGAGGAAAGAAACAGATATTATTCGAGGGAAGAGGAAAGGGAAGATATTATCTGGAGGGAAGAGAGGGAAAGATAGGAAAAGATAGGGAAATTGGAGGGAAGAGAGGGGGAAGAGAGGGAAAGGTACAGATATTATTCGAGGAAAGAGAGGGAGGGAAGAGAGAGGAAAGGTACAGATATTATTGGAGGGAAGAGAGGGAAAAAGAGAGGAAAAGAGGGAAACAGACAGATATTATTCGAGGGAAGAGAGGGAAAGATACAGATATTATTGGAGGGAAGAGAGGGAAAGATACAGATATTATTAGAGGGAAGAAAGGGGAAAGATACAGATATTATTAGAGGGAAGAGAGGGAAAGATACAGATATTATTCGAGGGAAGAGGAAAGATACAGATATTATTAGAGGGAAGAGAGGGAAAGATATACAGGGAAGAGAGGGAAAGACAGAGGAGGGAAGAGAGGAAAGATACAGATATTATTAGGAGGGAAGAGAGGAAAGGTACAGATATTATAGAGGGAAAGAGGGAAAGAAGAGAGGGAAAGGAAAGGTACAGATATTAAGAGGGAAGAGAGGGAAAGGTACAGATATTAAGAGGAAAGAGGGAAAAGAGGGAAAGAGAGGAAAGATACAGATATTATTAGAGGGAAGAGAGGGAAAGGTACAGATATTATTAGAGGGAAGAGAGGGAAAGACACAGATATTATTAGAGGAAGAGAGGGAAAGATACAGATATTATTCGAGGGAAGAGAGGGAAAGATAGAGACATTATTCGAGGAGGGAAGAGAGGGAAAGGTACAGATATTATTAGAGGGAAAGAGAGGGAAAGATACAGATATTATTAGAGGAAAGAGAGGAAAGGTACAGATATTATAGGGAGGGAAGAGAGGGAAAGATACAGATATTATTAGAGGGAAAGAGGGAAAGATACAGATATTATTAGAGGGAAGAGAGGGAAAGGTAAAGATATTATTCGAGGGAAGAGAGGGAAAGGTACAGATATTATAGAGGGAAGAGAGGGAAAGGTACACAGATATTGGCCTGAGGGAAGAGAGGAAAGGTACAGATATTATTCGAGGAAAGAGAGGGAGGATACAGATATTATTCGAGGGAAGAGAGGGAAAGATACAGATATTATTCGAGGAGAGAGGGGAAAGAGAGGGAAAGGTACAGATATTATTGGAGGGAAGAGAGAGGGGGAAGAAAGAGAGGAAAGGTACAGATATTATTGAGGGAGGGAAGGGAAAGACAGATTAAGGAAAGAGAGGAAAATACAGATATGAGGGAGGAAGAGGGAAAGATACAGATATTATAGAGGGATAGAGAGGAAAGAGAGGGAAAGGAAACAGATATTATTAGAGGGAAGAGAGGAAAGGTACAGATATTATTGGAGGAAAGAGAGGGAAAGACAGATATTATTAGAGAGGAAAGAGAGGAAGGAAGAGAGGAAAAAGGTACAGATATTATTCTGGAGGAAAGAGAGGAAAGGTACAGATATTATTAGAGGGAAGAGAGGAAAAAGGAGGGAAGAGAGATACAGATATTAGAGGAAAGAGAGGGAAAGGTACAGATATTATTCTGAGGGAAGAGAGGAAAGGTACAGATATTAATAGAGGAAAGAGAGGGAAAGATACAGATATTATTCGAGGGAAGAGAGGGAAAGGCACAGATATTATTAGAGAAAAGAGGAAAGATACAGATATTATTAGAGGAAAGAGAGGAAAAGGTACAGATATTATTAGAGGGAAGAGAGGGAAAGGTACAGATATTATTAGAGGGAAGAGAGGAAAGATACAGATATTATTAGAGGAAAGAGAGGAAAGGTACAGATATTATTAGAGGGAAGAGAGGGAAAGGTACAGATATTATTAGAGGGAAGAGAGGGAAATACAGATATTATTAGAGGGAAGAGAGGGAAAGGTACAGATATTATTCGAGGGAAGAGAGGAAAGATACAGATATTATTAGAGGGAAGAGAGGGAAAGGATACAGATATTATTCGAGGGAAGAGAGGAAAGATACAGATATTATTAGAGGGAAGAGAGGAAAGGATACAGATATTATTAGAGGGAAGAGAGGAAAGATACAGATATTATTCGAGGGAAGAGAGGGAAAGGTACAGATATTATTCGAGGGAAGAGAGGGAAAGACAGATATTATTAGAGAGAGGGAAGAGAGGGAAAGGTATGATATTATTCGAGGGAAGAGAGGAAAGGTACAGATATTATTCGAGGAAAGAGAGGGAAAGGTACAGATATTATTAGAGGGAAGAGAGGGAAAGATACAGATATTATCGAGAGGGAAGAGAGGGAAAGGTACAGATATTATTCGGAGGGAAGAGAGGAAAGGTACAGATATTATTAGAGAAAGAGAGGGGAAGAGAGGGAAAGAAATACAGATATTATTAGAGGGAAGAGAGGGAAAGATACAGATATTATTAGAGGGAAGAGAGGGAAAGGTACAGATATTATTCGAGGGAAAAGAGGGAAAGAGAGGGAAAAGGAAAAGGTACAGATATTATTCGAGGGAAGAGAGGAAAAGGTACAGATATTATTCGAGGGAAGAGAGGGGAAAGATACAGATATTATTCGAGGGAAGAGAGGGAAAGGTACAGATATTATTAGAGGGAAGAGAGGAAATACAGATATTATTAGAGGGAAGAGAGGGAAAGGTACAGATATTATCTGAGGGAAGAGGAAAGATACAGATATTATTCGAGGGAAGAGAGGGAAAGGTACAGATATTATTCGAGGAAAGAGAGGAAAGGTACAGATATTATTAGAGGGAAGAGAGGGAAAGATACAGATATTATTCGAGGAAAGAGAGGAAAGGTACAGATATTATTCGAGGGAAGAGAGGGAAAGATACAGATATTATTAGAGGAAAGAGAGGGAAAGGGAAGTGAGGGGAAGAGAGGAAAGAGGGAAGAGAGGGAAAGGTACAGATATTATTAGAGGAAAGAGAGGGAAAGGTACAGATATTATTCGAGGGAAGAGAGGGAAAGATACAGATATTATTCGAGGGAAGAGAGGGAAAGGTACAGATATTATTAGAGGGAAGAGAGGGAAAGATACAGATATTATTCGAGGGAAGAGAGGGAAAGATACAGATATTATTAGAGGAAAGAGAGGGAAAGATACAGATATTATTCGAGGGAAGAGAGGGAAAGGTACAGATATTATTAGAGGGAAGAGAGGGAAAGATACAGATATTATTCGAGGGAAGAGAGGGAAAGGTACAGATATTATTAGAGGGAAGAGAGGGAAAGGTACAGATATTATTAGAGGAAAGAGAGGGAAAGATACAGATATTATTAGAGGGAAGAGAGGGAAAGGTACAGATATTATTCGAGGGAAGAGAGGGAAAGATACAGATATTATCGAGGGAAAGAGGGAAAGAGAGGGAAAGAGAGGGAAGAGAGGAAAGATACAGATATTATTGAGGGAAGAGAGGGAAAGATACAGATATTATTAGAGGAAAGAGAGGGAAAGGTACAGATATTATTCGAGGGAAGAGAGGGAAAAGATACATTATTAGAGGGAAGAGATATTATTCTGAGGGAAGAGAGGGAAAGGTACAGATATTATTCGAGGGAAGAGAGGGAAAGGTACAGATATTATTAGAGGAAGAGAGGGAAAGGTACAGATATTATTAGAGGGAAGAGAGGGAAAGGTACAGATATTATTAGAGGGAAGAGAGGGAAAGATACAGATATTAAGGAGGGAAGAGAGGAAAGATACAGATATTATCGAGGGAAGAGAGGGAAAGATACAGATATTATTAGAGGGAAGAGAGGGAAAGATACAGATATTATTAGAGGGAAGAGAGGAAAAGATACAGATATTATTAGAGGAAAGAGGGAAAGGTACAGATATTATTAGAGGGAAAGAGAGGAAAGATACAGATATTATTAGAGGGAAGAGAGGGAAAGGTACAGATATTATTATTTGAGGGAAGAGAGGGAAAGGGAAGAAGAGAGGGAAAGATACAGATATTATTAGAGGGAAGAGAGGGAAAGGTACAGATATTATTAGAGGGAAGAGAGGGAAAGATACAGATATTATTAGAGGGAAGAGAGGGAAAGGTACAGATATTATTAGAGGGAAGAGAGAGGGAAACAGATATTATTAGAGGGAAGAGAGGGAAAGACAGATATTATTCGAGGGAAGAGAGGGAAAGACAGATATTATTCGAGGGAAGAGAGGGAAAGGTACAGATATTATTCGAGGGAAGAGAGGGAAAGATACAGATATTATTCGGAGGGAAGAGAGGAAAAGATATACAGATATTATTAGAGGGAAGAGAGGAAAGGTACAGATATTATTAGAGGGAAGAGAGGGAAAGATACAGATATTATTCGAGGAAAGAGAGGGGTACAGATATTATTAGAGGGAAGAGAGGGAAAGACAGATATTATTCGAGGGAAGAGAGGGAAAGGCACAGATATTATTAGAGGGAAGAGAGGAAAGAAATACAGATATTATTCGAGGAAAGAGAGGAAAGACAGATATTATTAGAGGGAAGAGAGGAAAGGTACAGATATTATTGAGGAAAGAGAGGAAAAGAGAGATGGGAGAGGGAAAGATACAGATATTATTCGAGGGAAGAGAGGGAAAGGTACAGATATTATTAGAGGGAAGAGAGGGAAAGGTACAGATATTATCTGAGGAAAAGAGAGGGAAAGGAAACAGATATTATTAGAGGGAAGAGAGGGAAAGATACAGATATTATTAGAGGAAAGAGAGGGAAAGGTACAGATATTATTAGAGGGAAGAGAGGGAAAGATACAGATATTATTAGAGGGAAGAGAGGGAAAGATACAGATATTATTCGAGGGAAGAGAGGGAAAGATACAGATATTATTAGAGGGAAGAGAGGGAAAGGTACAGATATTATTAGAGGGAAGAGAGGGGAAAAGGAAACAGATATTATTCGAGGGAAGAGAGGGAAAGGTACAGATATTATTCGAGGGAAGAGAGGGAAAGGTACAGATATTATTAGAGGGAAGAGAGGGAAAGGTACAGATATTATTAGGGAGGGAAGAGAGGGAAAGATACAGATATTATTCGAGGGAAAGAGAGGGAAAGATACAGATATTATTCGAGGAAAGAGAGGAAAGGTACAGATATTATTCGAGGAAAGAGAGGAAAAAGAAAGGATAGATATTATTGGAGGGAAGAGAGGAAAAGATACAGATATTATTCGAGAGGAAAGAGAGGGAAAGATACAGATATTATTCGAGGGAAGAGAGGGAAAGATACAGATATAATTCGAGGGAAGAGAGGGAAAGATACAGATATTATTCGAGGGAAGAGAGGGAAAGGTACAGATATTATTAGAGGAAAGAGAGGGAAAGGTACAGATATTATTCGAGGGAAGAGAGGGAAAGGTACAGATATTATTAGAGGGAAGAGAGGGAAAGATACAGATATTATTCGAGGGAAGAGAGGGAAAGGTACAGATATTATTAGAGGGAAGAGAGGGAAAGGTACAGATATTATTCGAGGGAAGAGAGGGAAAGATACAGATATTAAAGAGAGGAAAAAGATATTAGAGGGAAAGGAACAGACAGATATTCGAGGGAAGAGAGGGAAAGGTACAGATATTATTCGAGGGAAGAGAGGGAAAGGTACAGATATTATTAGAGGGAAGAGAGGGAAAGATACAGATATTATTCGAGGGAAGAGAGGGAAAGGTACAGATATTATTAGGAGGGAAGAGGGAAAAGTACAGATATTATTAGAGGGAAGAGAGGGAAAGATACAGATATTATTCGGGAGGGAAGAGAGGGAAAGATACAGATATTATTAGAGGAAAGAGAGGAAAAGTACAGATATTATTAGAGGGAAGAGAGGGAAAGATACAGATATTATTAGAGGGAAGAGAGGGAAAGGTACAGATATTATTAGGAGGAAAGAGAGGGAAAGGTACAGATATTATTAGGGAGGGAAAGAGAGGAAAGGTACAGATATTATTAGAGGAAGAGAGGGAAAGAGGGAATACAGATATTATTGGAGGGAAGAGAGGGAAAGATACAGATATTATTAGAGGGAAGAGAGGGAAAGTACAGATATTATTCGAGGGAAGAGAGGGAAAGATACAGATATTATTAGAGGAAAGAGAGGAAAGGTACAGAGAGAGGGAAGAGAGGAAAGGTACAGATATTATTAGAGGAAAGAGAGGGAAAGATACAGATATTATTAGAGGGAAGAGAGGAAAGGATACAGATATTATTCGAGGAAGAGAGGAAAGGTACAGATATTATTCGAGGGAAGAGAGGGAAAGATACAGATATTATTAGAGGGAAGAGAGGGAAAGGTACAGATATTATTCGAGGAAGAGAGGAAAGGTACAGATATTATCTGAGGGAAGAGAGGGAAAGGTACAGATATTATTAGAGGGAAGAGAGGAAAGATACAGATATTATTCGAGGGAAGAGAGGGAAAGGTACAGATATTATTAGAGGGAAGAGAGGGAAAGATACAGATATTATTAGGGAGGGAGAGGATATTAAGGGAAGAGAGGGAAAGGTACAGATATTATTCGAGGGAAGAGAGGGAAAGGTACAGATATTATTAGAGGAAAGAGAGGGAAAAGGTACAGATATTATGGGAGGGAAGAGAGGAAAATACAGATATTATTAGAGGAAAAGAGGGAAAGGGAAGAGGGAAGAGAGGAAAGGTACAGATATTATTAGAGGGAAGAGAGGGAAAGGATACAGATATTAGAGGGAAGAGAGGGAAAGATACAGATATTATTAGAGGGAAAGAGAGGAAAGATACAGATATTATTAGAGGGAAGAGAGGGAAAGATACAGATATTATTGAGGGAAGAGAGGGAAAGACAGATATTATTAGAGGGAAGAGAGGAAAGGACAGATATTATTCGAGGGAAGAGAGGAAAGGTACAGATATTATTAGAGGGAAGAGAGGGAAAGGTACAGATATTATTCGAGGAAAGAGAGGGAAAGGTACAGATATTATTCGAGGGAAGAGGGAAGAGAGGGAAGAGAGGGAAAGTTACAGATATTATTCGAGGGAAGAGAGGGAAAGATACAGATATTATTAGAGGGAAGAGAGGGAAAGGTACAGATATTATTCGAGGGAAGAGAGGGAAAGGTACAGATATTATTCGAGGGAAGAGAGGGAAAGGTACAGATATTATTCTGGAGGGAAGAGAGGAAAGATACAGATATTATTAGAGGGAAGAGAGGGAAGGTACAGATATTATTAGAGGGAAGAGAGGGAAAGATACAGATATTATTAGAGGAAAGAGAGGGAAAGATACAGATATTATTAGAGGGAAGAGAGGGAAAGGTACAGATATTATTAGAGGAAAGAGAGGGAAAGGTACAGATATTATTAGAGGGAAGAGAGGGAAAGGTACAGATATTATTAGAGGGAAGAGAGGGAAAGATACAGATATTATTAGAGGGAAGAGAGGGAAAGATACAGATATTATTAGAGGGAAGAGAGGGAAAGATACAGATATTATTCGAGGAAAGAGAGGGAAAGGTACAGATATTATTAGAGGGAAGAGAGGGAAAGATACAGATATTATTAGAGGGAAGAGAGGGAAAGGTACAGATATTATTCGAGGGAAGAGAGGGAAAGATACAGATATTATTCGAGGGAAGAGAGGGAAAGGTACAGATATTATTCGAGGGAAGAGAGGGAAAGATACAGATATTAGAGGAAAAGAGAGGAAAGAGATATTAAAAGAGGGGATACAGATATTATCTGAGGGAAGAGAGGAAAAGGTACAGATATTATTAGAGGGAAGAGAGGAAAGATACAGATATTATTCGAGGAAAGAGAGAGGGAAGGGAGAGGGAAAGATACAGATATTATTCGAGGAAAGAGAGGGAAAGGTACAGATATTATTCGAGGGAAGAGAGGGAAAGGTACAGATATTATTCGAGGGAAGAGAGGGAAAGGTACAGATATTATTCGAGGGAAGAGAGGGAAAGGTACAGAGAGGGAAAGAGGGAAAGACACAGATATTATTAGAGGGAAGAGGGAAAGATACAGATATTATAGAGGAAAGAGAGGAAAGATACAGATATTATTCGAGGGAAGAGAGGGAAAGATACAGATATTATTCGAGGGAAGAGAGGGAAAGATACAGATATTAGAGGGAGGAAGAAAGGAAAGAAGAGAGACAGATTATTCGAGGGGAAGAGAGGAAAAGGTACAGATATTATTCGAGGGAAGAGAGGGAAGGTACAGATATTATTAGAGGGAAGAGAGGGAAAGGTACAGATATTATTAGAGGGAAGAGAGGGAAAGATACAGATATTATTAGAGGGAAAGAGAGGGAAAGGTACAGATATTATTAGAGGGAAGAGAGGGAAAGATACAGATATTATTCGAGGAAAGAGAGGGAAAGGTACAGATATTAGAGGGAAGAGAGGGAAGAGAGGGAAAGGTACAGATATTATTCGAGGGAAGAGAGGAAAGGTACAGATATTATTAGAGGGAAGAGAGGAAAGATACAGATATTATTCGAGGGAAGAGAGGGAAAGGCACAGATATTATTCGAGGAAAGAGAGGAAAGGTACAGATATTATTCGAGGAAAGAGGGGAGGAAAGAAGATATTAGAGGGAAGAGAGGGAAAGATACAGATATTATTAGAGGGAAGAGAGGGAAAGATACAGATATTATTAGAGAGGAAAGAGAGGAAAGACACAGATATTATTCGAGGGAAGAGAGGGAAAGTACAGATATTATTCGAGGGAAGAGAGGGAAAGTACAGATATTATTAGAGGGAAGAGAGGGAAAGGTACAGATATTATTAGAGGGAAGAGAGGAAAGGTACAGAGATATAGAGGGAAGAGAGGAAAGAGAGGGAAAGGTACAGATATTATTAGAGGGAAGAGAGGGAAAGATACAGATATTATTCGAGGGAAGAGAGGGAAAGATACAGATATTATTCGAGGGAAGAGAGGGAAAGATATTAACGAGGGAAGAGGGAAAGACACAGATATTATTCGAGGGAAGAGAGGAGGGAAGAGAGGGAAAGATACAGATATTATTAGAGGGAAGAGAGGGAAAGGTACAGATATTATTGAGGGAAGAGAGGGAAAGGTACAGATATTATTCGGAAGAGAGGAAAGAGAGGGAAAGGTACAGATATTATTAGAGGGAAGAGAGGGAAAGGTACAGATATTATTAGAGGGGAAAGAGAGGGAAAGGTACAGATATTATCTGGAGGGAAGAGAGGAAAGGTACAGATATTATTAGAGGGAAGAGGGAAAGAGAGGGAAAGAGGAAACAGATATTATTAGAGAGGGAAGAGAGGGAAAGATACAGATATTATTCGAGGGAAGAGAGGGAAAGGTACAGATATTATTCGAGGGAAGAGAGGGAAAGGTACAGATATTATTCGAGGGAAGGAGGAAGAGAGGGAAAAGGGAAAGATATTATTCGAGGGAAGAGAGGGAAAGACACAGATATTATTCGAGGGAAGAGAGGAAAGGTACAGATATTATTCTGAGGGAAGAGAGGGAAAGGTACAGATATTATTCGAGGAAAGAGAGGGAAAGGTACAGATATTATTCGAGGGAAGAGAGGGAAAGATACAGATATTAAGAGAGGGAGGAAAGAGAGGAAAGGTACAGATATTATTATTAGAGGAAAAGAGGGAAAGGTACAGATATTATTCGAGGGAAGAGAGGGAAAGGGGTACAGATATTATTCGAGGGAAGAGAGGGAAAGGTACAGATATTATTCGAGGGAAGAGAGGGAAAGGTACAGATATTATAGGGAGGGAAAGAGGGAAAGATACAGATATTATTAGAGGAAGAGAGGGAAAGGTACAGATATTATTCGAGGAAAGAGAGGGAAAGATACAGATATTATTAGAGGAAAGAGAGGGAAAGGAACAGATATTATTCGACGAAAGAGAGGGAAAGAGAGGGAAAGGTACAGATATTATTAGAGGGAAGAGATGGAAAGGTACAGATATTATTCGGGAGGGAAGAGAGGGAAAGATACAGATATTATTCGAGGAAAGAGAGGGAAAGATACAGATATTAAGAGGGAGGAAAGAGAGGAAAAAGGTACAGATATTATTAGAGGGAAGAGAGGGAAAGGAGTTACAGATATTATTCGAGGGAAGAGAGGGAAAAGTACAGATATATAGAGGAAAGAGAGGGAAAGGTACAGATATTATTAGAGGAAGAGAGGGAAAGACAGATATTATTCTGGAGGAAAGAGAGGGAAAGGTACAGATATTATTAGAGGGAAGAGAGGGAAAGATACAGATATTATTCGAGGAAAGAGAGGGAAAGGTACAGATATTATTCGAGGGAAGAGAGGGAAAGGTACAGATATTATTAGGAGGGAAGAGAGGAAAGGGACAGGGGAGGGAAAGAGAGGAAAGAGGACAGATATTATTCGAGGGAAGAGAGGGAAAGATACAGATATTAAGAGGGAAGAGAGGGAAAGATACAGGAATTAGAGGGAAAGAGGGAAGAGAGGGAAAGGATACAGATATTATAGAGGGAAGAGAGGGAAAGATACAGATATTAGAGGAGGAGAGAGAGGGAAAGATACAGATATTATTAGAGGAAAGAGAGGGAAAGGTACAGATATTATTAGAGGGAAGAGAGGGAAAGGTACAGATATTATTCGAGGAAGAGAGGGAAAGGTACAGATTATTCGAGGGAAGAGAGGGAAAGAGATTATTAGAGGGAAGAGAGGGAAAGACAGATATTAGAGGGAAGAGAGGGAAAGGTACAGATATTATTAGAGGGAAGAGAGGGAAAGTACAGATATTATTAGAGGGAAGAGAGGGAAAGGCACAGATATTATTCGAGGGAAGAGAGGAAAGGTACAGATATTATTCGAGGGAAGAGAGGAAAGGTACAGATATTATTCGAGGGAAGAGAGGGAAAGGTACAGATATTAGAGGGAAGAGAGGAAAGAGAGGGAAGAAGGGAAAGGTACAGATATTATTAGAGGGAAGAGAGGGAAAGATACAGATATTATTCGAGGGAAGAGAGGGAAAGGTACAGATATTATTAGAGGGAAGAGAGGGAAAGATACAGATATTATTAGAGGGAAGAGAGGGAAAGGTACAGATATTATTAGAGGGAAGAGAGGGAAAGGTACAGATATTATTAGAGGGAAGAGAGGGAAAGGTACAGATATTATTCGAGGGAAGAGAGGGAAAGGTACAGATATTATTCGAGGGAAGAGAGGGAAAGATACAGATATTATTAGAGGGAAGAGAGGGAAAGAGAGGGAAAGATACAGATATTATTAGAGAGGGAAGAGAGGGAAAGAGGGAAGATATTATTCGAGGGAAGAGAGGAAAGACAGATATTATTCGAGGGGAAGAGAGGGAAAGATACAGATATTATTCGAGGAAAGAGAGGGAAAGATACAGATATTATTCGAGGGGAAGAGAGGGAAAGCACAGATATTATTCGAGGGAAAGAGAGGGAAAGGTACAGATATTATTCGAGGGAAGAGAGGGAAGGGGAAGAGAGGGAAAGGTACAGATATTATTCGAGGGAAGAGAGGGAAAGTTACAGATATTATTCGAGGAAGAGAAGGAAAGAGAGGGGAAAGGAAAACAGATATTATTAGAGGGAAGAGGGAAAGGGATATTATTAGAGGAAAGAGAGGGAAAGGTACAGATATTATTCGAGGGAAGAGAGGGAAAGGTACAGATATTATTCGAGGAAAGAGAGGGAAAGATACAGATATTATTCGAGGGAAGAGAGGGAAAGGTACAGATATTTTTAGAGGAAAGAGAGGGAAAGGTACAGATATTATTAGAGGAAAGAGAGGGAAAGGTACAGATATTATTAGAGGAGAAGATTAGAGGGAAAGGTACAGATATTATTAGAGGAAAGAGAGGGAAAGACAGATATTATTCGAGGGAAGAGAGGGAAAGGTACAGATATTATTAGAGGGAAGAGAGGGAAAGATACAGATATTATTAGAGGGAAGAGAGGGAAAGGTACAGATATTATTCGAGGAAAGAGAGGGAAAGGTACAGATATTATTAGAGGGAAGAGAGGGAAAGGTACAGATATTATTCGAGGGAAAGAGGGAAAGATACAGATATTATTCGAGGGAAGAGAGGAAAGGTACAGATATTATTCGAGGGAAGAGAGGGAACAGATATTATTAGAGGGAAGAGATTATTAGAGGGAAGAGAGGAAAGGCACAGATATTATGAGAGGGAAGAGAGGGAAGAGAGGGAAAGATACAGATATTATTAGAGGGAAGAGAGGGAAAGGTACAGATATTATTCGAGGGAAGAGAGGGAAAGATACAGATATTATTCGAGGGAAGAGAGGGAAAGATACAGATATTATTAGAGGGAAGAGAGGGAAAGACAGATATTATTCGAGGGAAAGAGAGGGAAAGGTACAGATATTATTAGAGGGAAGAGAGGGAAAGATAGAGATATTATTAGAGGGAAGAGAGGGGAAAGATACAGATATTATTCGAGGGAAGAGAGGAAAGGTACAGATATTATTAGAGGGAAGAGAGGGAAAGATACAGATATTATTAGAGGAAAGAGAGGGAAAGGTACAGATATTATAGAGGGAAGAGAGGGAAAATACAGATATTATTAGAGGGAAGAGGGAAGAGAGGGAAAAGAAAGCACAGATATTATTCGAGGGAAGAGAGGGAAAGATACAGATATTATTCGAGGAAAGAGAGGAAAGGTACAGATATTATTGGAGGGAAGAGAGGGAAAGAGAGGGAATATTATTCTCGAGGGAAGAGAGGGAAAGGACAGATATTAGGGAGGGAAGAGAGGGAAAGATACAGATATTATTAGAGGAAAGAGAGGAAAGATACAGATATTATCTGAGGGAAGAGAGGGAAAACAGATATTATTCGAGGAAGAGAGGAAAGATACAGATATTATTAGAGGGAAGAGAGGGAAAGGTACAGATATTATTCGAGGGAAGAGAGGGAAAGATACAGATAGGAAAGATTCGAGGGAATTAGAGGGAAAGAGGAAAGATATATTATTGAGAATTCGAGGAGGGAAGAGGGAAAGATACAGATATTATTAGAGGGAAGAGAGGAAAGGCACAGATATTATAGAGGAAAGAGAGGGAAAGGTACAGATATTATTAGAGGAAAGAGAGGGAAAGATACAGATATTATTCGAGGAAAGAGAGGGAAAGGTACAGATATTATTCGAGGGAAGAGAGGGAAAGATACAGATATTATTCGAGGGAAGAGAGGGAAAGGTACAGATATTATTCGAGGGAAGAGAGGGAAAGGTACAGATATTATTCGAGGGAAGAGAGGGAAAGGTACAGATATTATTAGAGGGAAGAGAGGGAAAGATACAGATATTATTCGAGGAAAGAGAGTGAAAGGAACAGATATTATTCGAGGGAAGAGAGGGAAAGATACAGATATTATTAGAGGAAAGAGAGGGAAAGGTACAGATATTATTAGAGGAAAGAGAGGGAAAAGTACAGATATTAGGGAAGAGGAAAAGAGAGGGAAAGGTACAGATATTATTAGAGGGAAGAGAGGGAAAGATACAGATATTATTCGAGGGAAGAGAGGGAAAGGTACAGATATTATTCGAGGGAAGAGAGGGAAAGATACAGATATTATTAGAGGGAAGAGAGGGAAAGGTACAGATATTATCTGAGGGAAGAGAGGAAAGATACAGATATATCGGAGGAAAGAGAGGGAAAGGTACAGATATTATTAGAGGAAAAGAGGAAAATACAGATATTATTCGAGGGAAGAGAGAGGAAAGGGGATACAGATATTATTCGAGGGAAGAGAGGGAAAGGCACAGATATTATTCGAGGGAAGAGAGGGAAAGGTACAGATATTATTAGAGGGAAGAGAGGGAAAGACACAGATATTAGAGAGGGAAAGAGAGGGAAAGATACAGATATTATTCGAGGGAAGAGAGGGAAAGGTACAGATATTAGAGGGAAGAGAGGAAAGGTACAGATATTATTAGAGGGAAGAGAGGGAAAGGTACAGATATTATTCGAGGAAGAGAGGAAAGGCACAGATATTATTCGAGGGAAGAGAGGGAAAGGTACAGATATTATTAGAGGGAAGAGAGGGAAAAGGACAGATATTATTAGAGGGAAGAGAGGGAAAGGTAAGATATTAGGAGGGAAGAGAGGAAAGATACAGATATTATTGAGGAGGAGGAAAAGAGAGGGAAGAAGGAAAGATACAGATATTATTGAGGGAAGAGAGGGAAAGGTACAGATATTATTAGAGGGAAGAGAGGGAAAGATACAGATATTATTAGAGGGAAGAGAGGGAAAGGTACAGATATTATTCGAGGGAAGAGAGGGAAAGGTACAGATATTATTAGAGGGAAGAGAGGGAAAGGTACAGATATTATTCGAGGGAAGAGAGGGAAAGATACAGATATTATTAGAGGGAAGAGAGGGAAAGATACAGATATTATTCGAGGGAAGAGAGGGAAAGATACAGATATTATTAGAGGAAAGAGAGGGAAAGATACAGATATTATTAGAGGGAAGAGAGGGAAAGGTACAGATATTATTCGAGGGAAGAGAGGGAAAGATACAGATATTATTAGAGGGAAGAGAGGGAAAGGTACAGATATTATTCGAGGGAAGAGAGGGAAAGATACAGATATTATTCGAGGGAAGAGAGGGAAGAGAGGGAAAGGTACAGATATTATTAGAGGGAAGAGAAAGGGAAAGGTACAGATATTAGAGGGAAGAGAGGGAAAGATACAGATATTATTCGAGAAAGAGAGGGAAAGGTACAGATATTATTCGAGGAAGAGAGGGAAAGATAAAGATATTATTAGAGGGAAGAGAGGAAAGGTACAGATATTATTTAGAGGGAAGAGGGAAAGATACAGATATTATCGGGAGGGAAGAGAGGGAAAGGTACAGATATTATTCGAGGGAAGAGAGGGAAAGATACAGATATTATTAGAGGAAAGAGAGGGAAAGGTACAGATATTATTCGAGGGAAGAGAGGGAAAGATACAGATATTATTAGAGGGAAGAGAGGGAAAGGTACAGATATTATTAGAGGAAAGAGAGGAAAGAGAGGGAAAGGTACAGATATTATTCGAGGGAAGAGAGGGAAAGATACAGATATTATTAGAGGAAAGAGAGGGAAAGGTACAGATATTATTAGAGGAAAGAGAGGGAAAGGTACAGATATTATTCGAGGGAAGAGAGGGAAAGGTACAGATATTATTCGAGGAAAGAGAGGGAAAGGTACAGATATTATTCGAGGGAAGAGAGGGAAAGATACAGATATTATTAGAGGAAAGTGAGGGAAAGATACAGATATTATTCGAGGGAAGAGAGGGAAAGGTACAGATATTATTAGAGGAAAGAGAGGGAAAGATACAGATATTATTAGAGGAAAGAGAGGGAAAGGTACAGATATTATTCGAGGGAAGAGAGGGAAAGGTACAGATATTATTCGAGGGAAGAGAGGGAAAGGTACAGATATTATTAGAGGAAAGAGAGGGAAAAGGTACAGATATTATTAGAGGGAAGAGAGGGAAAGGTACAGATATTATTAGAGGAAAGAGAGGAAAGGTACAGATATTATTCGAGGGAAGAGAGGGAAAGATACAGATATTATTAGAGGGAAGAGAGGGGATACAGATATTATTAGAGGGAAGAGAGGGAAAGATACAGATATTATTATTGGAGGAAAGAGAGGAAAGGATCTGAGGAACAGATATTATTTAGAGGGAAGAGAGGGGAAGAGAGGGGGAAAGAGAGATACAGATATTATTAGAGGGAAGAGAGGGAAAGATACAGATATTATTAGAGGGAAGAGAGGGAAAGATACAGATATTATTAGAGGGAAGAGAGGAAAGGTACAGATATTATTAGAGGGAAGAGAGGAAAGGCACAGATATTATTCGAGGGAAGAGAGGAAAGGTACAGATATTAGGAGGAAGAGAGGAAAGGTACAGATATTATTAGAGGGAAGAGAGGGAAAGATACAGATATTATTCGAGGGAAGAGAGGGAAAGGTACAGACATTATTCGAGGGAAGAGAGGAAAGATACAGATATTATTCGGAGGAAAGAGAGGGAAAGGTACAGATATTATCTGAGGGAAGAGAGGGAAAGATACAGATATTATTAGAGGGAAGAGAGGGAAAGATACAGATATTATCGGAGGGAAGAGAGGGAAAGGTACAGATATTATTAGAGGGAAGAGAGGGAAAGATACAGATATTAGAGGAAAGAGAGGGAAAGGTACAGATATTATTGGAGGGAAGAGAGGAAAGGTACAGATATTAGAGGAAAGAGAGGGAAAGGTACAGATATTATTCGAGGGAAGAGAAAGATACAGGAAAGGAAGAGAGGGAAAGTACAGATATTATCTGGAGGGAAAGAGAGGGAAAGGTACAGATATTAGGAAAGAGGGAAGAGAGAAAAGTTACAGATATTATTAGAGGGAAGAGAGGGAAAGGTACAGATATTATTAGAGGAAGAGAGGGAAAAGATACAGATATTATTCGGAGGGAAGAGAGGGAAAGGAGACAGATGGAGGGAAGAGAGAAAGGAAGAGAGGGAAAGGAAGATACAGATATTATTAGAGGGGGAAGAGAGGGAAAGATACAGATATTATTAGAGGAAGAGAGGAAAGGTACAGATATTATTAGAGGGAAGAGAGGAAAGATACAGATATTATTCGAGGGAAGAGAGGAAAGGTACAGATATTATTCGAGGGAAGAGAGGGAAGAAGACATTATTACAGATATTATTAGAGGAAGAGGGAAAGGACAGATATTATTAGAGGGAAGAGAGGGAAAGATACAGATATTATTAGAGGGAAGAGAGGGAAAGGCAGATATTATTAGGGGAAGAGAGGGAAAGATACAGATATTATTCGAGGAAGAGAGGGAAAAAGAGGGGGAAAGGGAAAAGATACAGATATTAGGGAAGAGAGGGAGAAGAGAGGGAAGAGAGGGAAACAGATATTAGGAGGAAAGAGGGAAAGATACAGATATTATTAGGGAGGGAAGAGAGGGAAAGATACAGATATTATTCGAGGGAAGAGAGGGAAAGGTACAGATATTATTAGAGGGAAGAGAGGGGAAACAGATATTATCTGGAGGGAAGAGAGGGGAAAGGTATAGATATTAGAGGAAGAGAGGGAAAGGTACAGATATTATTCGAGGGAAGAGAGGGAAAGGTACAGATATTATTAGAGGGAAGAGAGGGAAAGGTACAGATATTATTAGAGGGAAGAGAGGGAAAGATACAGATATTATTCGAGGGAAGAGAGGGAAAGGTACAGATATTATTAGAGGAAAGAGAGGGAAAGGTACAGATATTATTAGAGGGAAGAGAGGGAAAGATACAGATATTATTAGAGGGAAGAGAGGGAAAGATACAGATATCTGAGGAAAGAGAGGGAAGAGAGGAAAGGTACAGATATTAGGGAGGAAAAGAGGGAAAGGTACAGATATTATTAGAGGGAAGAGAGGGAAAGAAAGGTACAGATATTATAGAGGAAGAGAGGGAGGTAAGATATTATTCGATTAGAGGGGAAGAGAGGGAAAGGTACAGATATTATTAGAGGGAAGAGAGGGAAAGGTACAGATATTATTAGAGGAAAGAGAGGAAAGGTACAGATATTATTAGAGGGAAGAGAGGGAAAGGTACAGATATTATTAGAGGGAAGAGAGGGGAAAGGACATAGAGGGGGAAAAGAGGGATACAGATTATTCGAGGAAAGAGAGGAAAGACAGATATTATTAGAGGAAGAGAGGAAAAGATACAGATATTATTAGAGGGAAGAGAGGGAAAGGCACAGATATTTTAGAGGGAAGAGAGGGAAAGATACAGATATTATTAGAGGGAAGAGAAAGATACAGATATTATTAGAGGAAAAAAGGGGTACAGATATTATTCGAGGAAGAGAGGGAAAGATACAGATATTATTAGAAAGAGGGAAGAGGAATTACACAGGAAGAGGGAAGATACAGAGGAGGAGGGAAGAGAGGGAAAGTACAGATATTAGAGAGGGAAGAGAGGGAAAGATACAGATATTATTCGAGGGAAGAGAGGGAAAGGTACAGATATTATTCGAGGGAAGAGAGGGAAAGGTACAGATATTATTCGAGGGAAGAGAGGGAAAGGTACAGATATTATTAGAGGAAGAGAGGGAAAGACAAGGATATTATTGGAGGGAAGAGAGGGAAAGATATTATTCGAGGAAAGAGAGGGAAAGATACAGATATTATTCGGAGGGAAGAGAGAGGGAAAGACACAAAGGGAAAAGATACAGATGTTATTCTGAGGGAAGAGAGGGAAGATACAGATATTATTAGAGGGAAGAGAGGGAAAGGGAAGAGAGAGGAAAGGGCCAGATATTATTAGAGGGAAGAGAGGGAAAGACAGATATTATTAGAGGGAAGAGAGGGAAAGGTACAGATATTATTAGAGGAAAGAGAGGGAAAGTTACAGATATTATTAGAGGGAAGAGAGGGAAAGGTACAGATATTATTAGAGGGAAGAGAGGGAAACAGAGACAGAGGGGAAGAGAGGGAAAAGGGAATTAGAGGAAAGGAAAGATACAGATATTATTAGAGGGAAGAGAGGGAAAGATACAGATATTATTCGAGGAAGAGAGGAAAGATACAGATATTATTAGAGGAAGAGAGGGAAAAGGTACAGATATTATTCGAGGGAAGAGAGGGAAGAGAGGGAAAAGACAGATATTATCTGACGGAAGAGAGGGAAAGGTACAGATATTATTCGAGGGAAGAGAGGGAAAGATACAGATATTAAGAGAGGAAAGAGAGGAAAAGGTACAGATATTATTCGGAGGAAAGAGAGGGAAAAGGTACAGATATTATGGAGGGAAGAGAGGGACAGATATTAGAGGGGAAGAGAGGAAAGGCCAGATATTATTAGAGGGAAGAGAGGAAAGGCACAGATATTATTAGAGGGAAAAGAGGGAAAGATACAGATATTATTCGAGGAAAGAGAGGGAAAGGCACAGATATTAGAGGGAAGAGGGAAGAGAGGGAAAGATACAGATATTATCTGGAGGGAAGAGACGGGAAAGGTACAGATATTATTCGAGGGAAGAGAGGGAAAGGTACAGATATTATTAGAGGGAAAGAGAGGAAAGGCACAGATATTATTCGAGGGAAGAGAGGAAAGATACAGATATTATTCGAGGGAAGAGAGGGAAAGGTACAGATATTATTCGAGGGAAAAGAAAGATATTAGAGGGAAGAGAGGGAAGATACAGATATTATTAGAGGGAAGAGAGAAAAGGTACAGATATTATTCGAGGAAAGAGAGGGAAAGATACAGATATTATTAGAGGAAAGAGAGGAAAGGTACAGATATTATTCGAGGAAAGGAGAAAGAAAGAGGGAAGGAAGACAGATATTATTCGGAGGGAAGAGAGGGAAAGATACAGGGATTAAAAGAGGGAAAAGAGAGGAAAAGAGGACAGATACATTATTAGAGGAAAGAGAGGGAAAAGTACAGATATTATTCGAGGGAAGAGAGGGAAAGGTACAGATATTATTAGAGGAGGAGGAAAACAGATAAGAGGGAAAGATACAGATATTATTAGAGGGAAGAGAGGGAAAGCTAGGATATTATTCGAGGGAAGTGAGGGAAAGGTACAGATATTATTAGAGGAAAGAGGGAAAGGTACAGATATTATTCGAGGAAAGAGAGGAAAGGTAAGATATTATTCGAGGGAAGGGGGGAGATACAGATATTGGTTAGAGGAAGAGAGGGAAAGATACAGATATTATTCGGGAGGGAAGAGAGGGAAAGATACAGATATTATTGAGGAAGAGAGGGAAAGATACAGATATTATCTGAGGGAAGAGAGGGAAAGATACAGATAATATTCGAGGGAAAAGAGGGAAAGGTGATATTATTAGAGGGAAGAGAGGGGATAAGATACAGATAGGGGAAGAGAGGGAAGAGAGGAAAAGGTAAAGATATTATTCGAGGGGAAGAGGGAAAGGTACAGATATTATTAGAGGGAAGAGAGGGAAAGACAGATATTATTCTGGAGGGAAGAAAGGAAAGGTACAGATATTATTGGAGGGAAGAGAGGGAAAAGATACAGATATATTAGAGGGAAGAGGAAAGGTACAGATATTTTTAGAGGGAAGAGAGGGAAAGATACAGATATTATTAGAGGATAGAGAGAGGGAAAGATACAGATATTATTAGAGGGGAGAGAGGGAAATGTACAGATATTATTAGAGGGAAGAGAGGGAAAGAGATACAGATATTATTCGAGAAAGAGAGGGAAAGATACAGATATTATTAGAGGAAAAGAGAGGGAAAGGTACAGATATTATTAGAGGGAAGAGAGGGAAAAGATACAGATATTATCTGAGTGAAAGAGAGGAAAGGTACAGATATCTGAGGAAGAGAAAGATAATATTATTAGAGGGAAGAGAGGGAAAGATACAGATATTTTCTGGAGGAAAGAGAGGAACACAGATATTATTCGAGGGAAGAGAAAGGAAGATATTATTAGGGAAGAGAGGAAAGAGATATTATTAGGGAAAGGGAAAGATATGATATCGAGTGGGAAAAAGAGGGAAAGGTACAGATATTATTAGAGGAAAAGAGAGGGAAAGACAGATATTAGTTAGGAGGAAAGAGAGGAAAGACAGATATTATTCGAGGGAAGAGAAGGAAAGGCACAGGATATTATTCGAGGGAAGAGAGGGAAAGATACAGATACATTAGAGGAAAGAGAGGAAAAGGTACAGATATATTAGAGGGAAAGAGGAAAGATAAGGATATTATTAGAGGAAAGAGAGGGAAAGATACAGATATTATTCGAGGGAAGAGAGGGAAAGGCATATGTTATTAGGGAGGGAAGAGAGGGAAAGGCACAGATATTATTCGAGGGAAGAGAGGGAAAGATACAGATATTATCTGAGGCAAGAGAGGGAAAGATACAGATATTATTAGAGTAAAAGAGAGGAAAGGCACAGATATTATTAGGAGGGAAGAGAGGGAAAGGTACAGATATTATAGAGGAAAGAGAGGGAAAGATACAGATTATTCGACGGAAGAGAGGTAAGGAAAGAGGAGGGAAAGGTACAGATATTATTAGAGGGAAGAGAGGGAAAGGTACAGATATTATTAGAGGGGAAGAGAGGAAAGCGTACAGATATTATTCGAAAGGGAAGAGAGGAAGAAGATACAGATATTATAAGAGTGGGAAGAGAGGGAAGGTACAGATATTATTAGAGGAAAGAGAGGAAAGATACAGATATTAGGGAGGAAAGAGAGGGAAAGGCACAGATATTATTAGAGGGAAGAGAGGGAAAGGGCAACAGAGATATTATTCTCGAGGGAAAGAGAGGGAAAGGTACAGATATTATTAGAGGAAAAGAGGGAAAGATACAGGATATTCGAGGAAAGAGAGGGAAAGGCACAGAGATATTATTGAGGGGAAGAGAGGGAAAGATACAGATATTATTCGAGGGAAGAGAGGGAAAGGTACAGATATTATTCGAGGGAAGAGAGGGAAAGACACAGATATTAT